AGGATGCATCATCCCCAGAATCTCAAAACTCAAATGAATTTCTATGATTCTTTTTTTTTTTTTTTTTTATAGTAGGGGCTGACAGTCCCTGGATAGTTTGCACAACTGTCTCTGGAGTTTTACTCTGTGGCAGGTCCTTGGACTTTGTCCCTATTTACAGCTCATCTTTTCTCCATGTACTGTATCAGAAGGTTCAGTGCTTCCCTTACATTTTATTTTGTCCCAGAAATCATGATGTTATTGATGTAGTGAAACACAGTGACTTTCAAATTCAGAGTACTCAAGTCTTGGACAATCATCCATGACAAATTGTTGGAAAATGGAAAATGAAGGCACACTTGAGGAAGTACTGGTGGCCATCCCACACAAAGGCAAATTGGACATGACATTCCAGGTCTATTGGAATTGAAAAGAAAAGAAAGCATTGGCAGTGCCTATCACAATATGATATTCTCCTGTCTCCTTTGAAATTTTATCAATGATAGAGATTATATCAGGTACAGCTGACTTCAATGGAGTAGCCACTTTATTTAGTCCTCCATAATTCACAGTTATTCTACACCATCAATCATTCTGTCTCATCAGGTTTCTTTCAGACCAGAGCAAAGAAATGGCTTACAGCAGGGCTAAGGATTCTATTCTCAATAGTTATTGCATAGTCTCCACAATTTTGTTTTTGGCCTCCTGACAGTCTGTACTGCTTTAGACAGGCTGGTTTTTCTGGTGGAAGAATGTAGATAGGAGTCTATTTCACATGATCTCTGACCGCAGTCTTCACTGCCCTTACCAGACACGCTTTGTCAGGATACCTCAGGATTAAGGGATTCAGATTTGGACGTAGTTTGGGATTAACATAAGAGGTATGTTTGGTTTTGTCTAATTGTAGGCTACTGCTGTCTTGACTGGTGGTGTTTCGAACCCTGACAGTTTTCCCTACTAACCTTTTCCACTTCTACATTAGAAATCTCATCTATCTCATCTGTAGGTACTCTTGCATTTGTTTCCAAGAAATAACTAGGCTGGATCTCTCTGCACCTCCTGCCTTCTCTCCTGCCTTCTCTTTCCTTGCTGGCTTAAGCTATATCCATTGCCCTGACAGGTTTTGTTTTAATCTTCTCTAGCTCACCCAACTGGTTTAAAAGGGTAGTGGCTTTGTGAATGTTGTTGTTTAATCACAGGCCTCCAATCAAGGATAATAAAGGAGCCCTGAGATTCAGTGGCACAGACTTTATTAGCTCAACATGTAGAAAAGACATTAAGGGATCCATCTCTGGACCCATCCAATCTGGGATCCCACAATTCTCTGTGGAAGGAGACATTTTCTAGGTCACTAGTATTAGCAGATACTCAAACTATCCCACCTCTCATGATGTCTAATAGTGAACAATTCACAGTAAACTCTTGGACCTTGCACATGGCCTGGCGCAATTGAGTTAACATTTCCATAGCTTCTGCATCTCATGACATAGAAACAATAAGCAAAATATCTGAAGCATAAACCTATCTAGGAATGAGAGAGAATCTGTCTGGAAGGTTTGAAGTTACATTTACATTGACAGAGGGTTGGGTCACTGGCTTAGGCTTCGACTGGTTAGTTGACACTTCTCAGTCAGAGTGGAAAGTGAGGCTCTATAACATCAAACCTCTCTACATAAACAACATTGCCCCTTTGGGAAATATCAGTATATTTCCTCTCATCCCTCTTAATGTTCTTTGGGAGAATCAGAGAAGATACAAGCAAATCAATCACGTCTTTTTTTTCTTTATTGAAAGTATAAATATATTAATATTTATTAACACACACACATATATGTACAGATATACAAAAAATAACTAGGGGACAACTTCTGGGATTTGCCTTAAAGTTTAATTACAGACCTGTTTTCTGTATTGTTTTCTGTTGTTTGTTCTAAGAAAAATACTGAGGAAATTGTTCAGAAATATCAAGGCTGCAGAGGTTTCTGGTGTCTGGGGAGGGTTGGGGGGTGGCATGCAACTTGCCTGCTTAGGCCAGACAGGCGGCGGATACGTCTTGCTAAGAAATTAGCAAAGTATGCTTCTACCTTGAATAAGTCATAAGGTCTCAGATGACTTGTTGATTTTAGCCTTAAAGTGGAACTACACTGTATTTGAACACCACAAACCAAAAATGCTACTAATTCATTTTTAATAATCAAAGCAAACTCCCCCATCGATGTCTCCATTGCTGAGAAGTCATTTTGAAAAACACCCCTTTAGCATTTCTGGCCATGGCCATCTTGAGTAAGGGCAGATGGTTCATGCAGCATTTACTTCCTGGAATCCATATGTCCTTAGCTCAGGCATGCAGACAGGAGCTCCTCTCCTGGGATGTATGACATCATTTGCCTAGGCCTGGCAACCAGGAAGCAACTGAAGAAATGTAAAAAAAGTTTAAAATAAGTAAATATAATATAGTTTCCTATCCATTACCTAATACTAGCAGCATAATAATTAAAAATAGTCAATGTTGATAGAGAGAGTGAGGTTCCACTTTAAGTGTTCAGATTTAATGATGCATTCCAGGTATGGTATATTTTTACTCCAATGTAACCATGTACAGCACATACAGTACCATACATGGCCAAAGCTATTGGGAACTGGAAATCACTGAAGTAGACACCACTATTCTAGTGATCTTCACTTACATCCAGGTCCTGTGCTGAGCAGCTGGCCTGCTGCATTCTGAACACCGCAGGTTGGCTGCTCAGCATGTGCATCATTCAGAGAATTCTGTCAGTGATACTGAAATCAAGCATCCAGCAGCAGGGATGACTAGATCTCTATGGCTGCACTTAGGGAACTGAACTCAGACTGTATATGATTAAAGTAAGTTTTTCAATGCACAAAATACCAATCCAACACCAACAGATCATAAGCAAAGCAAAAGTGAAAAATAAACGTAAAAATAAAAAAATCCCCCTGTGATAGTAGGTGGGTTAGCCTCTTCCCAGCACCTGCTTTGTCATTCATTCAGAGGAATCTGTGAATGAAAAAACAAGTCCTGTCTCCCACCATGACAGATGGCTTGGAGTTTTCAATGAACTGCAAGGGTGCTGAAGAGCGTTCTTGTACTGTAGATTATTCCCAAGCCATGCAGCTTTCAAACTGACAACCTGTCCAGTGTTTGTCCATAGGAGCTTGACATTGCACCCAGGGGCGGACTGACAACTCATGGGGCCCCCGGGCAATAGGGGATCATGGGGCCCCTGTGTCCTTGGCCAAACTCAAAAAAGCCTATGAAAAAGGTACCAGGGGCATCTCATGGGGCCCCCTACTGACCCCGGGCCCTCGGGCAGTGCACCCATGAACCACTGATTGTGGATGCAATGCTCTGCAGGCTCCTGTGAAAAAAAAAATGCACATTTTTGTCCTGCAAAAGTATGTGCATTTACAATTTTTTTTTTTTCAAAAAGGTGAACTTTAGCCTTTAAAATCTGAAGTTCTGTTCAAGGAGGAAATTGTGGACCATCTATAACAGAAGCTGGCTTTTAGTCTACCCTCACAGTGGACATGCCAATGTTCATTTGATAGGAAAGGCTAGTTAGCATGTGTGTGTGTATGTACCAAGGGCGGACTGACCACTCATGGGGCCCCCGGGCAATAGGGGATCACGGGGCCCCCGTGTCCTTGCCCAAACTCAAAAAAGCCTATGAAAAGGTACCAGGGGCATCTCATGGGGCCCCCTACTGACCCCGGGCCCTCGGGCAGTGATCTAGTTTCCAAATGGTCACTGTGCCCCTGGTATGTACAGTATGTGTGCGTGTGTGTATTTATGTATGTATGTGTGTGTTTGTTTGTGTATGCCTAATTGTGACACTCTGTGCATACTGTATTGTTTTTCTATAACTGGTAGTTTGTATATGAAACATTCTTGTTTAGTAAAAGCATGTTAACATCTTCCAGCATTTTTTGTTAACTTGGTTTACCACAAAGTAGCCGAAAATGCAAGAAAAGAAGTCATGCAAAATAAGAAAGTTGTAAATATAGAAAAGCCACAGAAAGTGTTCTTAAATTCTGTGGTCCCATAGATCCCATGGAATTATGAATGTTTATTGAGTCAGCCAGCCATTGTTGATCTATACCCAATGGTTCACAGGTAGCTTTATTGCTGATCCAACCCCAGCTAGAACTTAAAATTGAAGTTTAGCTAGAAATGATTTTTAGCCCTACAGCTTTATTGACCTAACTTACCTATAATGAAGTATGTCCCACGTTGTAAGAGCAACAATCATTAAAAAAAAGTATTGATTCAGAAATGTAGAGCTGTCCTGTGTCCTCTGCAGGCTTCCTGTTTTGTTTTGTCATGGCTATGAGCCTTCCTATAGACTATAAAATGATCAGCTCTTATGTTGTAGAGATCCGAACAGTTAAGTAGTTGAGTAACAGATCCTGGGCAGGGAAGGCTAAATTCAATCCCACACAAAATCTGCTTGTTAGCCCACGACAGAGCTTTATAGCTCAGTGCATTTCTAGCAGATCAACAGTTATCTCTGTGTACTTGCATGATCCTAGCGGTCTGATTATTTCAGATTTTTGGTGCTGAAAGTGGAACCATTATTTTGCATGGAAATATGTAGTTTTTTTATTGTAGGCTGTAATTTTTAGGAATAACTCTCTGAAATCTGTCCGAACAAGAGTCTATTAAACATCCCGGGTATGATAAAATTTGAAACACGAAATCATAAATTATAATTTAATAAATAATCATAAAAAATAATAATATAATAATAATACATTTAATTCAATAATATAATCAAACCAAAAACACTGAAATTTGAAATATAGCGCCAAGTTCGCACATTGCTGAGCAAAGTAGCAAAATTGTATTCAGTGTCTGATGACGAATTTAACCACAAATCATTATCACTCAATTCTGCAAGTGGTTCTGATTTACTATCGCTGTTCCCTAGCTGATCTAAACCCGCTTTTGACCTAAAGGGACACTTTTTAGACGCCATGGACTTTTCTCAGTTTCCAGGCAGAAAGAACAGACAAAATGCAGACAAGGCACAGGACAAAGCACTAGGGACAAATGTATGTGAAATGGGATGAAACAGCAATGTTTTACTATGAAAAATTTGTTTTGAAAAAAATGACATTATTTAAAATTTTCAAATTTCCCACCGCCGGTGGCGCCCGTACGTCCCGACGTCACAGGGACCGGAACACAGAAGCCGGATGCCGGCATCGGCCGGAGGAGATGGCCTGGGATGCTGCAGGGGACACATCGTGGGAGCGAAGGACAAGGTAAGCTCTGCAGGGACTCCCTATTCAGCGCCGCATGGTAAGCCCGAGTGTAGCTCGGGGTTACCGCTTTTGGCACTGACATTTTACCCCGAGCTACACTCGGGAATACCACTAGGGAGGTTAAAGTGTAAATCCACTTTTGTTGAGAAAAAAAAAACAATCCCTTCTGGGTGATTTATTTTGATTGCAGGGACTTTAACAAAGTTTTTAGCAGACCCCTACCTTTAACTGCTCTGAAGAAATAGCTGTTTGCTTCACCATTTCCTATAAAGACTGAATTTGAATGGGAGGGTCTGGTTCAATATGATCATCTGGTGCACACTCAGTGTTCTGATGAAAAGAGCTACAGTGTCAGCATCCCTTTACAAGTGTTTAACCTTTAGGGAGTATCTCTCTAAAACTGAAATTTCTATTGTAGAAATTTCTACAATTTCTACAAAATTCTATTATACAAATGTGACTTGTATCTTAGTGCAGACTTCTGGAAATTTCAGTGAGCCAATCACACAAGCAGGAAACAACATTTCTGGTGGAGTTCCATACACTGATGTTGTAAAGAGAGCCTCCAGGGTACCATATTGCATTGAGTTTTACAGAAAATTACAAAAGCTTCAGATTGGAAAGAAAAGATAATTTTAATAACATTAAATTACAATATGCCTTGATCAGCAATTGTATATGCTATTTTTTTATTTGCTGAGTTTTTAGCATAAAAATTGCATTATCTTTAAAGGGATAAAACATAGGAAAATGTGCATGTATTTGAGATGTGTACTGCATATGTTTTTTTATTTTGCCTTGACGTACACTTTAAGCGCAATTAGAGAAAGAAGACTTTTTGTCATTACTTTGATAAGTTTTATGGGTAAGCCATCATCTCTTTTCCTGCAAGCTCCTGACAGGTAGACTAAAGTTGGCTATACAACAAGGACTGGCTGAATTTTGATCAATGAATGGGCACTGTGGTTGTATAGAAGTTGATCTACTGAGTAACTTCTGTACAACCGCCCTGACTAATTTTCCCTACTTGATCAGTGCTGCAGGCTTTAGTCTACAACTCTGATCAGTGTATTCTGATGGCAGGGAAGTCTCCCCAGTGTTCTAATACATTAGCTCAGCAGGGAGGATTCCCCCATCCACATCGAGTAGGTGGATGGGGGAATAGAGTCAGCTTTTTTAATTCAACCTGCTGGTTGAATGAAAACAAAAAAATTAAAAAAGGGACTCACCTATGGGCTGCTTAAAACACTAATGGGAACTCTGTACAATATAAACCAAACAGAATAATGCTACCGATACCGTATTTTGTTTTTAAAGTTTGCAATAGCATGCATATAACAGTTTTAGGACCAAGAGGTGTTGTCATGTCCAAAAATACCATCCTGTCTTCCAGTGTTCACATTTTTCCTGCACATTGGTAGACGGGCAGCTCAGATAAATAATGTCTTTATTTATTCTTGAAATGTGTAGATGAGTGCTGCAGCGACCCCCAGCTGGAAACCAAAGACATCAAAGTGAAAGTATATCACCAGCAAACCACAGATCTCCAGAACAGGTCCAAAGCTTTATTAAACAATTACTTTTTTATTATTTATTACAGGTACTTATATAGCGCTGTCAATTTACGCAGTGCTTTACTTGTGTATATATATATATATATATATATATATATGTACATTCACATCAGTCCCTAACTCTCAAGGGGTATACAATCTAAGGTCTCTAACTCACATTCATCCATATCCATACAAGGGCCAATTTATACAGGATCCAATTAACTTACCAGCATGTCTTTGGAGTGTGGGAGGACACTGGAGTACCTGGAGGAAACCCACGCAGGCACGGGGAGAACATGCACACTCTAAGCAGGTGGTGCCATGGTTGAGATTCAAACCAACAACCCTAGTACTGCCAGGCAGAAGTGCTAACCATTTAGCCACTGTGCTGCCCATCATAATCATTACATCATAAAAACTAAGGCAATGTTTCAAAGCCCACACATGACACTTCATCAGGCATGTGACAATGTGCAATAAAGACAGAAAACTATTTAAGGAACAATCCATCAATCAGTGTGCACAGAACTGACTACGACCCAGCCCCTGATGTCATAGTGATGTCACAGACCTGCTATAAACACATAATTAAAAAAATTACATAACTGTCACACAACAACTTAATACATAATGCAAAATACACATCAATTTAATGCATATTGTCAAATGGAGCATAAGTAGACAGGGGTCACAAGTGAAATACAAAATCAGATTATTAGAGTGTGAATCAGGGTGCTTGCTAAAATGTCGACAATGTAAACAGAACAGTACAGCAGGTCCCAGAGTCAAAGATTGCTGTTCATTGGTTGTGACCATGGGGGCATGCATACAGCCCTCGGCATGTACAGGACCAGCCAGTGGCCCATGCTGCTGGGCGCATGTGTACTGTGCTAGGGTATCCTGAATAGAAAAGCCACTAGATCAGTACACAAATGACTTCAGAGAACATAATGGGGAGTCAGAAAGCCAAAAGGAAAATAGTGTGCAACTCCCAGTGTGAGCAGTGTGAAACCGACATCTTTCTACAGGAACACCGAGCAAAGACAGGAAAAAAAAGAAAATAAGAATTAAAAAAGGAAGAAACAGGAAGAACAGAGAGAATAAAAAAAATAACAAAAATGACAAAGGCAGGGAAAAAAAAGAAAATAAGAATTAAAAAGGAAGCAACAGAGGAAGAACAGAGAGAAGGAAAATAAAAAAGACAAAGGCAGGGAAAAAAAGAAAATAAAAATTAAAAAGGAAGCAACAGAGGAAGAACAGATAAAAAGAAAAAAAAATAACAAAAAAGACAAAGGCAGGGAAAAAAAGGAAATAAGAATTAAAAAGGAAGCAACAGAGGAAGAACAGAGAAAAGGAAAAAAATAACAAAAAAGACAAAAGCAGAGAAGAAAAGACAAGAATTAAAAAGGAAGCAACATAGGAAGAACAGAGAAAAGGAAAATAAAAATAAAAAAGACAAAGGCAGGGGAAAAAAAGAAAATAAGAATTAAAAAGGAGGCAACAGAGGAAGAACAGAGAAAAGGAAAAAAAAATAACAAAAAAGACAAAAGCAGGGAGAAAAAGACAATAAGAATTAAAAAGGAAGCAACAGAGGAAGAACAGAGGAAAGGGAAAAAAATAATAAAAAAAGACAAAGGCAGGGGAAAAAAAGATGCTAGAATTAAAAAACAAAGGGAGAGAAGGAAAATCAGAAAAAAGGGGAAACATCTTGACAAGAAAAAATAATAGAATAATAAAAGAACAAGAACATTGAAGAAAAAAAGAAAAAAAAAATTACTGAATTTTTATTACACTATAACCCGCAAAAACATATTGTTAAAAGCTATGATCCTAAACCTTGTAAAACACCTCACCCTCACCCTCCAGCTGGTGGAAAGATTCAAAATTAACCATATATAGCTTTACAATAATTTTGCGATCCCAGTCTGTGAAATCATCTACTTGAGAGTACAATTAAAATGGCAAGACCACCCATATAGCATTGACCATCTGGTGTCAATAGTCAAAGCCTGTATGTAATAATGTCCATCTATGATGAAAGTTCTAAAGGGAAGATTGTGGAATCTATATTAGAGTCTGTACTAATGACATCCACATCAAGGTGCCATAATTAGATCATTTTCCGTACATAGTGTTGAATAATCCACTTCAAAAGCTTGTCAAATACATTGCTTCATCATATTCACCATAAATCATATGTTTCACCGACACAAGTGGATACATCATGTACAATGTCTGTAAAAGATGCTAGGAAGGGACCATTATAAGAACAAGGTTCCTGTTCTAGGGGAAATTACATTAACAGCATCATTCAAGCACCATTTACGGACAATGTATATGATGTATCCACTTGTGTCTGCGAAACATATGATTTATGACCATGATGAACTGAGGAGCAAAGAAAAGGTGAGCATGTGCTGCTGGGGAGGGGACATTAAAGCAATCTCTGAATGGGCAAACCATATATTTGATTCTAATCATCTTGTACTGAACACAGCTGTATTTTCCTAGCCACATACACAGTACAGTATATTGCAAAGCAGTTGTGACAATTTGTGCCAACTGAAAACAGCATGGTATTATTCAAATCTTCACTTGATAAACTTTTCACTTCTTTTTTTTTTTAGTTGGTGTTTTTGTGCCTTTCTACTGCTGTGCTAGCTCAGGCTGAGTTATAAAGAAAAAAAAAAAGTTAGCTGTGCTTTAATAGCAAAGCAAGATCACACGGCATATTTGTGTTGACCAAAGACATTCTTCCTAAGTCTTGCTCCCCAACCGGCTTATGTATGGTTTCTGCAGCCCTATCCAATCTTCTTCATTGTCAAGTTTCTTTTGCTAGGTTTGCTGTAATCTTTTCCAATCCTTTCCCAATACTTCTAGAAATTTCAGCAACAACTTGTAATGCTTTTTTATTTGTGTGGCTGGGGTTTCAATATAAATGTATATATGTATTTTTTATTCACTTTTTATACACTATGTCATGGAAAACTAAATCTTGTTTGCCATGCATAATCTTGTTACTTTGAAAGTGTTGCATAAACAGGCTTGAAGCTGATTTACTGTAATCTCTTTTTGTGATCACAAAGCTTGCAATGCGGTTTGCGCACACACAGATTGCATAAAATAATCTCTGATCCGTGGATACCTCAACTGAGGTTTGCCTACAGAAAAATGGCTGCCTCCTTTTTATTATATTTAAAAATACCTGTTGTAATTCAATATATTATGTAAAAAATAAACTAGTCTAAAAACTAAAGGCAAAGAATTTAATTGTCATCCAAGCAGAACGTTGTCTAAGGCAGCCTTCATTTCCTTCTAAAAGTCCTAAATAAATGATTATCTTTCCCTTTAAAGCAGCTACAGGCTGTGTAGAAACAATACGGTCCCCTGCAAGCATACTCAAGAGAAGGACACTAGCTCTCTGTGTGATTGCAGTGGTGTCTATGCAGAAGTCCAACACAATGCCTTCTGCTGATTGAAGAGCTCTAGAGGGCATGAGGGACCACTGCAGAGGGACTGGATTTTC